CTCCGACTCTCCGAGGTGGGTGACGACCATGATGATGGTGCTTGCTGGTGGCCGGGTTACTTCATCTGCTGAGTCATGGGGGCTGGATTCCTTTCCTCAGCTCTTCTACTTGAAGCAACTTTATATATTGCCACTTGTTATTGTGAGTGCAGACCCACTGTAAGCAGTGTAGAGAGTAGAAAAGAAAAAAGTAAAATTGACCAAGTCTACCACACAGGTAGCTCATTCAACGCCTATAATAATATAGGGGTTTTTCAGGCTTTTCTCTGTATAGACTCTTAAGAAAATACACATAGTCCTAAATGTGTGTGTGGGGGTGTGGGTGTGGGTGTGGGTGTGTGGGCTTCAAAAAGCTCCTGGAAAAATGAAATTAGAAAATCATGGACTTTTTCCACAAACTTTTTGAAGGTGTATGTGTGTGTGTGTGTACACGTGTGTGCGTTGTTGTTAGGTTCCTTTGAATCAATTTCAACTCTTAGCAATCCATTTCTGTAAAGAAGACAGCCCAGAAAACACAACGAGGTCACACACGGGGTCACTATGACACACACACATTTTAGAATCTGTTTTTTTGAAAACCTACTAGTATGTTATGAGTGTTTTTCTATTAAAAATATAAGTCTAGGCCTGCAGAACTATTTACTATAAATATGCCAACATTCATGTGTCCGGCCCCTGATTCTGCATATTTTGGCATTGTGCTGTTATAAAGAAAGCATCTTTTCATTTTTATGGGGTGTTTACAAAGATATGGGCATAGCTTTGCAAAATTGGCTGATTATCCTCACAGGGAGAATTCCTGAAAGCAGAATTGCTGGATTACATGGTACGTGTGTATTGATGGCACCCCATTTTGCCCAAATGCCCTCCACGTTGCTTGAACAGATTCATACTGTGCCCCTACTCAGTACTCTACCCACCACTCAGCCTCCAACCCGCTGAAAAGCTGTGAGCTTCTGGCGGGCCCAGTCCACCTAAAAGTGCCTTGTAAGAAAAGCCTGACAATCTACTTCCCCCACAAATTAGTCACTGGAAACCCAGCATCCCACAGCTCTATCCTTGACACACGCAGGCTGGACCCGACAGTTCTGGTAATGACACTCTGATGGGGACCCGGGAAGCCAGGCTGTGCGAGATACCTTTTTAGAGGTTACTACGTAATTTAATTCTCATAACGATGCGATGAGAAATGTTTTAATGCCTCCCATTTACTCTTTAAAAATTCTTCTTATTTAATAGTTTTATTGGCATATAATTAAGTTATCATACAATTTAATAGTTCAATCGTATTCACAAGAATTGGACCGTCATCACTACGGTCAACTTCAGTACATGTTCTTCTTTCTTGCTCTCCTTGTTAGTGCCCCATCGCCCCCTAACCTCTCCGGCCACTCCCCCAGGGTAAATTATTAATCCAGTTACTTTCTCTAGAGATTTACCGACTCTGGATTTCATTCACAGAAAATCATTTTAAAAGAAACAAAAATAGGAAGCAACCGCAATAAAACCCAACCACGATGACAAAAAACAGGAAACCCTCAACTGAAAATAAAGCAGACTGTATTAAAAACTGCAGCGAATTTAACATGCATCCAAAAAGGGAGATCAGATGATGCGGTATTCCATGTTAACCCCATGACAGTGTCCGTAATCGACTTTAGAGTGCTTCTGTCTGATGGCAAGGCTTTTTACACCCCTGGACTGTGATCAGAGGGGGACACTGGAGGGTTCATCTACGCGGAGACTCTGCAAATGGATTTTGGGCTTCCACTGTCATCTATAATTTACTGCAAACTGGGTGCTCAGAATTTAAGCTCTGATCCCATTCCCTCCTTTGGATTTGAATTTTATTATTTATATTCCTTGGATCACATAGGTTGGTGTGCTTCTTCCATGTGGACATAGTTGACATCTCACTTAAATGGCTGCTTGTTTGAAAACACGCAATTCTTCCTGACAGCCTGGCACCATCTAGTTTCTTCACCATCCTCTGCTGTAGCACCCTTATCTTCAGTGATCTCTTTATGAGGGTATCAGTAGGACCATGTCATGAGTACTAATTGTTTATCGATTAGAGCAATGAGCTCCAAATCCATTCATATATCAATGGTCTCTGCCTCTCCCTCACTTTCAAGACATCGCTAGCATTTTGTTATAAAGAACATCGTAAATCATCCCCATGGGGAATAAGGTAATTCTATTGATAGTATCATTAGTTTAGCCAATGGTATAGCATTTAAAACAATGTTGAAAGAAGGCATTTACATATGTCTAGTCCAGCTTTTTGGAGTGAAATAAACGAATTGTTGACTTGTACAGAAGGAACGCTTAAGTGACTGGATGCTCTGTGCACCAATAATGGGGGCTGAGGACAGGGCAAAGCTCTCAGTAATGCTCATTCACAAAGGCGGAACCAGGACCGTCAGACCAATACATGTGTAGTAACAGTACGCTCCTCCCGGGCCACCATTCCTTGAGCACCCTCGAAGCAAGAGCCCAGAGCCAGGATCCAGAGACCACCAGTTCCATCACCTTGGGATCGAGGTTGTCTGTTTATTCTCACTCTAGGGCATTTCAGCCTTAAGTTCAAGGGAGCGTAAGTTGGTTCCTTAAATCTAACTACAGGTGAATTTAAGGTAAGTTCACCCCTGGTGAGGTTTCCACATCTACACCTGCTGGTGTGACCTATGAGAGTCCCAGCAATCTACAGCACAGGGCTTGGATCACCCAGGGCTGGATAGAAACCAGGTCAAAAGTGCCCAACTAGGAATATAATACCCGGTATTCGGCCTTTGGATTCTATGTCAGTATTGCTAAACGTTTTCCTCATTGGCAGGTTGCCCCGCCTAGTTTACCCACCAACAGAAGTGTAATTCCCTTCTAGGAGACAGACATGCCTGAGCCCCTTCCCTACTCTGATCCCTAGTCTTGACTGTAATTCCCAGTAATATTCCCATTTACTCTTAACACCCCATTTCTGAGGCTCCGAAAGATTAAATGACTTTGCCTTAGGACACCTGCTACTACTTGGCACAGTTGGGATATAAACTCAGCCCTGCCTCATTCAAGGTTTGGGCCTTGTCTGCCCAGAGCCATGTGCTCCCTGCTCTGGTGGGCGGAGTAAAGCTGACCGGTGGACACAGGTAACGGTGCCAATCCAACTTTGAGCACAGTGCTGGGCTCACCATTCTTCAGTTATGTGTGGAGGGGCCTCCATGATTACTCATACGAAAACAGCAGGGAGGGAGTTTCCTTTGCGAATGACCTAAGCCTCTTTTCAATTTTGTTTTGAAAGTGAGGAAGCACATGTTAAAAGTGAGCACCCTCTCCCCCGCTGAAACCACAGTGCCCCCCCATCCTGGCTGCTGTCTCCCTCCACCTCTGCCCACCTCTTCCAGCTACTGGGGGACAGGGCTGCCAATCTCTCTTTGCCCAGACTCTCCCCAGCTTCCGAGACTGCAGGATTGCAGCCCTCAGGGGTCTGAGAATGAACTCACGCTGGTCCACTCCTTACAGTTGCTTCGCTGGCCTCTTTATTTGCAAGTGGCTGAGCCATGTGAAATATGGCTCCCGGGAGTGCTGGAGAGAGGCCTCCGGCCACTGCAGCTAAACCAAGCCATTTCTCCTGCAGGCAGCAGGCTCCCGAGGCCTGGGTCGGTGTGTGACAGGAGCGGGCGGCCAGCAGCCGGGGAGTACAGCAAAATTTCCCCTCCGGGAAGAGATTTGTTATGTGTTGTTTTAACAGGTTGATGCAAAATAAATAAACAGAGAAGGAGGGAGCAGGAGATGGATGGTTTTCAGTAAATAATGTTATGGTGGCCAGCGATTTGGAGGGAGTTGGTGGGGGGAATGAGTTTCCCACCTAAGCGGTTGTGACAGGAGTATTAACTGGGGGCTGAGAAGGGGATCACAAACACAGCACCGTGACGATTACCAGAGCACATACCAAGGCTGAGAAACGTGTCTGCAAAGCGAAAGCAGCACATCCAGCGTGCACCCTCCCAAGCACCCGCCACATCCTGGGCACCCTCCCAAGCACCCGGCACAGCCTCGAGGTGCCTGGCACGCCCTCCCCCCCAGCACTTCCCTCCGCAAGCCATCCCCAACCTTACAAAATGAACGCAGGCCTCAGCTTAGCAAGGGAGTCTGCCTGCCTCTTGCTGAAGTTAATAGTTCTGGGCTCTGAGACGCAGGTTCCCTGGGGATTCACCCCCACCCCCCTCACTTGGGGAGAAAGGTTTTTATGGCCTTATCTCATACGATGCTGATTCCTTTATCAAAACATGTTGTCGACGACACACTGCTGATGTGAACTTTGCAGTCATCTCAGCAAGGGAGACGGCTCACAGTGCAGGTTTCCATGTCGTGTGGGCCCTGGAAAAAAGTGTTCCCGTGGGACAGGAAAACCACGGAGTGGCTCTACAACCGGCCCTGGAGGCCTGGAGGTGCCCCCACACCTCACACACACCTTCCCTGGCCATCCCTTCCTGAGCCTCATCTGACAGAGGAGAGCAGCCCTGACCAAGGCTCAGAGAGACCTTGATGGAAATAAAAACAGTGCCATGCTGCCGAAAGAAGAAACGATATTTGCTTGGAGATGTTTCATGGGTTGGTGCTACTGCTCTTATGTGGGCACGAGACAAAGAACCTGGCCTTCCTCTGTCTGCCGATGCCAGCCTGCACAAGCAAACTCGAAGTGCCCTTTGCTTATCAGGCGCAGCGCCCGAATGTCACTTCTCAGTGGGGAGCCTCTCCTTGCTGGAGCCTCAGTTCCTGGGCATTGACGCTGAGTTTATGGAGCCTGGCGTGCTCAGGGCTGTGGCCTGTAGGAAGCAGATCACCAGGCCTGTTTCCCAAGGTGCCTGGGGAGGGGGTGGGGGGTAGGGATTTGAATTGGCAACCTTCCAGGTAGCAGTGGAGTGCTGCTTGTGTGTGTACCACCCAGAGATGCAGTGTGTAGAGTCCATCTTTCAAACAGGTGCCCCCTTGTGCCTCCCTAGGTATGACTTCATTGAGATTCGGGACGGGGACAGTGAATCCGCGGACCTCTTGGGGAAGCACTGTGGGAACATCGCTCCGCCAACCATCATCTCCTCAGGCGCTGTGCTCTACATCAAGTTCACCTCCGACTACGCCCGGCAGGGGGCAGGATTCTCCTTGCGCTACGAGATCTTCAAGACAGGTCAGTGCGGTCAGACCTGGGAAGTGGGCGTTTTGGAGAAGCTGGTGCACGGCCATCTGACGGCCATCAAATGCGTTCTGACTCATAGCCACCCAACAGGACAGGGTGCAGCTGCCGCTGAGGCTTTCAGAGACAGCAGCTGTTTACGGGAGTGGAAAGTCTCAGCTTGGGGGTCGTCACATGCCAACAACTGAGTTGCTTCTGGCTCAGGGCTCTTTAGGGTAGAATAGGATTGCACGATAGTGTTTCTCGACTGTAATCTTGACCGAAAGAGATGACCAGATATTTCTCTGCAGAGTCAGCTTAGCTCGGAATCACTGTGCCACCAGGACTCCCAGTCCCAGAGGGGAGGTGGCTGTCTTATCAGCCCTGAGCGAGGCTGTGGAGGTGGGAGACGGTCAAGGCAACCCTAGAGATAGCAGGAAATGTAGAAACGGTTTAGGTTATTAGCCAACTTTCAAGGTCAGGTTGCAGGGTTGGTTGCAACAATAAAGGCCCCAAATAAATAAGGAAATGATGGGGGGAGGGGAGACCACTCTTTAAAAGAACTTGATTTTTCCATGCTTTGAAAACTAAATAACCTTCATCGGGGGAAAAATCAAAACATGGTTGGTTTTTCTTATAATTACGGTTTATATGGTTTCATATTGCTTTTCTTTCCAATGACATGGATGTGTGAGGGGGTGAGGGAGGTGGGGAGGGGAGGCCTTATCATCAGAGTGTTTCCAGCCACAAAAGATTTCACTGCGACTCTTTGAAACGGGTTGTGGCGTCTCTCTCAAATATGGCTCCTGAAAGAGCTCCCCTGGTAGTCCAGATGTCCTGTTGGTCTCCACTGAAGTCCCACTTCCTCAGCCCAAGTGGAAGGAGCCCTGGCCGTGCCGTGGTTACGCTGGGCTGCGTGCGATCTGCGGCGGTCTGAAACCACCAGCAGCTCCTGGGGAAAGACGGGGCTTCCTACTCCGTAGACAGTGACTGTGAGTCAGCCTTGCCTCGATGGCACTGAGTTCTGAAAAGCCCAAATGAAACTGCCCCGGGAAGCTGACACAGAGGGACCGGGAAAAGAGGCAGAAGCTGTTGTAGTCAATGTCAACTCCTGGCAACCCCGCATCCCTGCGGCCCAGGAGCAAACTGCCCCGGGAAGCCGACACGGAGGGACCGGGAAAAGAGGCAGAAGCTGTTGTAGTCAATGTCAACTCCTGGCAACCCCGCATCCCTGCGGCCCAGGAGCACTGTGCCACCTGGGGCTCTCCGTGGCTGATCTTCCAGAAAGGGATCCCCAAGCCTTTATCCCAAGGTGGAAGAAAGTGGATGCGAGCCTCTAACCTCTTGGTGAGCCGCTGAGCTCCTTAGCGGCTTCCATTCAGCTCCCGGCCATCCAGTGGACCCTAACTCATAGCGACCCCTTAGGGCCCTGGGGGTTTCTGAGGTGGTAATTCTGTATGAGAGCAGACAGCCTCCTCTTTCTTCCAAGGGATGATAGAAAGGTGGGCTTGAACTACTGACGTTGTGGCACAGCTCGCTGCCCTGCCAAACTTGCTGCCTTTGAGCCAATTCTGACTTGCGGTGACCCTATTGAACGGAGCTGAGCTGCCCCCATGGGTTTCTGAGTCCGTAATTTTTTATGGGAGGAGGAACTTCCTCTTTCTTCTTCCAAATGGCTGGTGGGTTTGAACTGCTGACCTTGCAGTTAGCAGCCAGATGTGTAACTCACCACACCCCCAGGGCCAAACAAAAAAACAACAACACCCAAACTCACTGCCATAGAGTCAGTGCTGACTCATAGCGGACCCCCACACCCCCACCCTGTGGGTTTCCGAAACTCACTGTTCCAGGGAGCTGCTGGTGGTTTTCAAACTGCTGGCCCTGAAGTTCACAGCCCAAGCCATAGCCACTAAGCCACCAGGGCCAGTCCCCCATCGACTAACATATTGGACCCTGAGCATATGGGCTAGTGAGTACTTGACTCGCTCCGCTCCTTGGTGTGACGGTTCTGCGGCGTCTACACGCAAGCAGTCCAAACCGTGTGCTTTCTCTTCTCCTCCTGTGAGTGGAGCGGGTTATCTCAAGGCCGCCCCTTCCCCAAGCCCCCTCGCAGAGGCCCGCACTTCTCCAGGAGGGATCCCCCTCTGCAGACTCACAACTGGTGCATGGGGTTCTGCTTCAGAAAAGAGGTCTCAGCCTGGTCATCGAGAGGCTTGAGCCCGGCGCCTGTTGAGATCAAGGTGAGGGGAACTATTCACATATATTTTCTTTTTCACAAAACAATTCTTGAAAGGAAGTGGTAGCTGCTGAGAGCACGTTTTATACCCAGGCTGCCTAAATATGTGTTGGCTGCGTCTACATGAACACAAGAACATGCAGTCCGATGAAGGGCGGCGGCGGGGCGCGGGGACCCAGGGAGCTGTGTGCAGTCGGAGAGGGAGCCCCGCTGTCACCGGGGATATGCCCCAAGAAGGTCCATCGGCTGCAGGAGTGAGCAGTCCGGGCCTCTGTGCTCCTGATGACGAAGAGGCTACGGAGATTGACAGAATGTGTGTGACCCGGCTGTCTCGGGCTGGCATGAGGCTCCCAAAACGCTGAATCTGCGTTCCCTCGAGTCCCGTGCAGCCAGGGATCACTGCCCCACACGCCCATGGAATACCGTGCTCTGCTCGCTGAAGAGGTGTGGGCGGGGAGAAGGGAGTTTACCCTGCTCTAGTGGGGCAGGTGAAGGGCAATTGTGGGGGTGGGTGGGGCAGTGGGGGGCCTGTGGTAGCCTTCCTGCCTTCCATGAGGGAGCTCCAAGTTTCACCCCGCCCTCTGCACTTCTCCGGCCAGTGGAGGCTTCCATGCTGCTGAACCAGTTTTAGCAGAGCTTCCAGACTAAGACAGACTAGGAAGAGAGGCCTGATCGTAGTTTAAAAAAAACAGTGGGTGAAGACGTAACGCATCACAACGGCCCAATCCATAAGCCCCACGAGGATGGCACAGGGCCGGGCAGTCTTTTGTTCGGGCACTGACTCGGGCACTGACTCGGCCACAGCTAAGGACAACAGCAGATGTGGGGGCTGATCAGTCAACACCGCCTCATAGCACCTGTTCTGTCGATGCTGTTGGACAGGTAGGTAGGTACACAGCCTGGGAAACTGTAACGCGAGGCAGAATGAGCTGAACACCTCATGGAGGTGGGATTGACCTGCACGGTCAGGATACTGACAGAGTCATTGAGCGACTTGACAAAGTGGGGAGCAGGGTACCTGAAGTGTCCGTTGGACAACAAGGTGGTGGGTCCCTGGTGCACAAACTGCCACTCCGCCTGCCTATTCTGACCTGGAAGGAAAGCAGCTCTAAGCAGCGTCTTCCGGAGAACTGACCAAGGGAAGGAAGACACAGTGAAGGACAAACAGGACCGCCGAAGCTCTAGGTGGAAGCCTTCCAACTTTGTATTTCTCAAGGGATGGTCCCGTCTTCTCCATAAAGCCACAGAAAAAGCGAACGGGAACCCTCTCCAAACGAATAAGTGGGTGGTAGAAAGCACTCAGTATTCAGCATTGCTGTTTTGAGGCCAGGCTACAGCAGGATTTCAGAGAGGCAACAAGCCCATGGCTGGCTGGGAACAGTGGATGTTGGCCAGGGAAGAAGCTTGGGCTTGGGGGAAGCCGTGGCCTGCCTTCTCGACTGAGATGGTTCATAGAAGGAAGAGATGGCTGTAGCAAGGAGCAGCTGTGCCAACAAGAGTCACAGAGGAACAAGAAAGCAAGCCCAGTGGCCTCTCCAGGTGCACACCCAGCCCCCCCAACCGTGCCACTTCCCAAGGTCATCTCTCTCCTGTTTGAAGCACCAATGAAACACAGGGGTACGGAATCCTCCGCTGAGACCGAAGATGATCATTCTGCCAGGTGCCATGTCATGGGCCCAGATCCCCACTGCTGGGGCCCTGGGAGAAAACACACAATGTCAACGTCACCCACGGAACCCGAAAGAGACTCGTGAATCTGCTACAGCAGTTCAAACAAACACAGCTATGCTTGTGTGTCAGATTCATACAGAGAAAGAAGGGAGAATTGTAAGCACCCACACAGAGGAGCCCTGTCCCTTCGTCTTGCAGCCCAGTTTGTGCATTGAGTCAGAACCTTCAGCCCAATTTGTGCATTGAGTCAGAACCTTCAGCCCAGTTTGTGCATTGAGTCAGAACCGTCGAATGAAACACCCGCTGGTCACGTGTGTGTCTCAGGATATAGTGTACCTTTCTCTGCATAAGAAAATTAAAGAAACACTTTCAGATGCACTAGAACATCGTTAGCTTAGTATCATAATAGTAATAATAATGCTTTCAGTATCGTAATAATAATGCTTTCATGTGGATTGCAAAGTACTATCCATTTGTTATTATCAACTATTTTATGTACCTTGAAGCTTTAATATAAGCTTTCCAGAGTTGGCTCATAACTGAGTCGTACACAAGTCTGGGGACTGTCTGGACGCCTATAACAAGCGATATGGCAGACTGCAGGAACCCGCCAAGACAGCACTTTGGCCGAGGGAGGCCCTCCTACAGAGTCCTACTGAGAGACGGGCTCACAGTCTGGGCACAGACAGTGGGCATGTGCTGGAATAGATATGTAAATGGAATGGAGTGGGAGTTCCATGCTGCCTTAAATAAAGCAGTGTATGTAAGAGTCTACATATATCAGATGACTCCCTCTGTGGCACAAATGGTTAGACCCTAGGCTAGCAGTTGAAAGGGTGGCAGTTTGAAACCACCCAGGCACACTTCAGCAGAAAGCCTGGTGGTCTATCCTTCCCCAAGGTCACAGCCTGGGGAACTCTGATGAGCACAGTTACCCCGAGACGCATGGGGTCCCCGTGTATCGGAATTGACTTCCCAGCTAGTGGTTTGGTTTATCTTTATTGTGTTACCAGACAGGAGCCCTGGTGGCATCGTGACTTACACACTGGGCTGCTAACCCTAAGATCAGCAGTTCTAAACCACCAGCCACTTGACAGGAGAAGGATGAGGTTTTCTGCTTCCATAACGAGTTGCCGTCTCGGAAACCCACAAGGGCAGTTCTAGCCTGTCCGCTAGGTTCTCTGGATCGACTGGGCGGCAGTGAGTTTGACTGGGGTTTGGGGCTGGCCACCTACGCACAGGGAAACCAAAACCAGCATGAGCCAAACCGAGAGGAGGACGTTTCAACAACTGACCAAGTAGGAACCTCGGCACCCGAGACAATGGGGAAGCATGTTTATTTTCTGCTCCTCCCTTGACTATACATCATTCAAGATCAAGTTTTCTTTCCTGGTGCCGTGGCTTCTCTGAAACGGAAACTCTGGGCTCATTTGCCGACCCACAAACCCTGGAGTGCCCCCTGACCCTCCTTGTGCGGTCAAACCATTGAGAATTCCGTTTTGTTACATCTCTTTATGCAACGCATGTAGTTTCTTCTTCTGATTTCAGAGGTGCTGTAGCTTTGACAATTGAAAAACATGGTGTGGAAATCATTCACCATAACAGAAACATCTCGGCGTCGTGGGCAATCTTAGCATCAGGTGAACTTGTCTGCTTGCTAACTGCATCATGAAAAAAAAAGTTGGATCTTTTTAACACACCACCATCACCACCACCACCAAAAAAGACTTTTGGATTAGGTAGATTTCTGCAAGACTCAACTTTTATCTCAAGGATGGCCACCCTTTCAGAAATCTCGGCATTTGATATTTAGCCATTTCCTCTTCTCTGGCACTTTGATCTGATCGTGCTCCAAACGGTGAGACGGTGCAAACAGAGACAAATGGTGGCTTCTCGAAGACAGGTGCTTTTGAGATAAAACAGATAAAACTATTTCCACATCATTCAGAAGAAGCCAGAGGACATATTATCTATGTGTAGCCATTTGTCAGAGGTACACAGGTTTTGGGGGGGGTGTGTATTTTTATGGGTTTTTTGTTTGGTTTGCTTTTTGGTCTTAAATGCCTGAGGTTGACATTTTCTTTCCCGCTGAAGGCAGGACTTCAAGTCCCTGGGCACGTTAGCATCTCCCTTTTCCAGGATTTTTGGGATTCGCTGGATAAATGTGCATCATAGAAACACCTGTCCCCATGGGTGGAAGGGGCCATAGAGTCCTCCATATACCCTGTACCGCCTCCTTCTCAACCCCACTGCCAGGGGCCAGGGAATGGCTCTCATCCCGGAGGGCCGGACAATAGGGAGAGCTCTAGGAGGGAGTGTCAGGGCGCCTGCCCCAGTTGGCTCAGTCAGATATGACTAGAGTGAATTCCTCCCAGCCGGACTGAGGCAGCCATCAACTCTAACCTTTTCAGAAATTCCTCCGGGCACCCTGAAAACCTGCCAGCTGGCTTGGCTTGGCCCAGTTGTCTCACCCCTGGGCTCCGGAGGCGGCCCACAGGAGGTCCAGCCAATAGTAAACAAAGCTGGAGTGGAGGCTGCCTTGCCCTTCCCTCTCTCTCTACCCCAGCCCAGCTGCCCCCCTTAGCTGCCCTGGACCTGCCCCTCTGCCGCCATGTCCCCAGTGGTGGTGTGCAGTGCCTCTGATATGTGGCATGGAGAAGCCCAAAGAGTCCTTGAAGAAGTTCCGTGTGGGTCCCCTACCCTCACCTGTGTGCAAGGCTGGGCCCAAGGGCCGAGGTGATGGATGGTGCAGGGAACTTGTATCTGAATTTCTAGTCTGGGCCTAACCCAAGTGGTACTCTCCCCCTCCCCCATCATTTGCATGGCATCTTTTGCAAGCCAGACATTTGCCACTAAGGCTAAGCGGTTATCAGTAAAGAGACTAAGGGAGGGGCCTGCTCCAGGAGGCGGGGATGAGGACATTGCTTCAGGCTAAGATAGGGTATTGACATCACATAGTTACATCCCAGCGAGGCCCCAGGGGACACTTCATGCCAGTAAACACCTGGTTTTATCTAGTGTTTCTCTCTGTGTTTTCCTTCATGCTTAAGGGTGTATCTCATTCTTCTCAGAGACCCACCCCACTCCCACCCCCCACCTTCTTTTTAAAATCCGAATGTATTGAAAGCTGCCTGCGTGTGTGTCCTGAGCCTTGGTGCACGCCAGCACTGCTGGTTCTGCCTTGCCAAAGGGTGGCTGGCTTCCAGCACCAGGAGGGCCCTTTTAATAGGACTCCCCCTAGAGGTATTCGGAGGTACGGTAACTGTGATCCTTTTAAGACTCCCACTGCTGTCCGAGCCTGCAAGGAGGAGTGAATATGTGGGGCATTTAATAAGGACACCTCCAAGAGTCCCAGGAAAGTAGGCACCAGCGCCGGGGAGAGATACAAGGCCCTCCCCATCACAAAAGGACCAGAAGCCTTCCAAATGTCAGTACACTGCTGCCTTTTTCCCAACTTGCTGCTGGAGCGGCCTTTCACATCCCCAGCACCCCGCTGTGATCCACCGGCTAAAAACGTTGATTGTTCATTGTCTGACCACTACAGAGACGCTGGTTTTAATATAGTCATGACATGAATGAGACCCGAGCGCCCCTTTGCCCCTCCCCTGAGGCACCTTGGATCTTGGAGGGAGAAGGGGACACTTAGTGGGCTGTGGTACAATAGGGGCCAGTGTTGAGGTCAGCAATAAATAAGGGGTAACATTGTTTTCTCCGTTGGCAATCAGCAAGCCTTCCTTAAGGATTGAAATAACTTACATTTCTGGAGCAAGCAGCTGAGTAATTGAGAAAGAGGACTCTGTTCCCCTCTCGAACAGAATCAATCTCTCTCTGGCTCTCTCTCTGGCTCTCACTCTTTCTCTCTCTCTCTCAGACACACACACACACACACACACACACACACACACACAACACATCTTTCTATGCTGGCCCCCAAATTCCTCAATTGCTGCTCATTCTCTGATATGTTGCGCCAGCCAGCTGCGCCTCTGTCCTTCCAATCCTGAAGAGGGTTAGACTTGAGGATGTATGGTGCTTCGAGGGCCACTTCAGTGGAAACAAAAAAAAAAACCCTCACGAGTAGGGGGATCGGGGCCCAAACATTTAAAGAACCCATGCAGAGAGGCAGCCAAGCAAGGTGGGCCCTTCTCTCTCCTCAAACTGTGGTTCTTTTACACACAGGCTCCGAAGATTGCTCAAAGAACTTCACCAGCCCCAACGGGACCATCGAGTCTCCTGGGTTCCCCGAAAAATACCCACACAATTTGGACTGCACCTTCACAATCCTCGCCAAGCCCAAGATGGAGATCTTCCTCCAGTTTCTGACCTTTGACCTGGAGCATGACCCTTTGCAGGTGGGAGAGGGAGACTGCAAGTACGACTGGCTGGACATCTGGGATGGCATTCCACATGGTGAGTGAGTGACGAAGGCTGTCTCAGAGCCCCCTTTTCAGTAGTGGGTCCTTTGCCTGTTAATTGCCCTTAATCACAATTGAAAAACGGAATACAAAGGCTTCAAAGATGCTCGGGGTTCTTCTCTGACCCCAGATAACTTTCTCTTCTCCTTAGCCAAGGATGAAGCGCTGAGAAAAACTGCCCAGAGGCAGCCGCTTTCCTTAGGGATGTTTCTTTAGAGAAGGATCGAAGAGCAAGTAGGTACTGGAACCAACCTACAGATAATGTTATTTTCCACGCCGAGTTCTCGTGGTTTCCACAGAAAGTGACTTGGTGGCCAACCGACACCCTGACCGAACTCTAAGGCCAGATTGACTGGGTCTGAAGAGTCTGCTGTGGACCAGCTGGGCATCTGACCTCTAACGCAGTGGTTCGCAACCTTCCTCGTGTCGCGGCCCTTTCAGACGGTTCCTCATGTGGTGGTGCCCCACAACCATAAAATTATTTTCGTTGCTACTTCATCACTGTCATTTTGCTACTGTTGTGAATCGGGCGGCCCCTGTGAAAGGGTCATTCGACAGCTCCCCCCCCAAGGGGTCGAGACCCACAGGCCGAGAACCACTGCTCTAGAAGGTAGCTGTGCTCGTCATCATTAGTATTACTATAATTCTTATTATGAATATAATAATAAATGTGGAAAAGGCACTAGCCAAGGCCAAGAGGAGCCTGTACTTTTCAGGTAGAGACCCGTGTTACAAAGGTCTTGGGCACACTCAGTATCTGCAAGGCAGCCAGTCTTTCCCCGGGTAGTCATTCTGAGCGGTTTCCCATCTAAAGACCTGACGGCTAAGGAAGACGAGCAACATTATTCTGGGGAAGCGCCTATGATGTAGTCAGGAAAATGTGGCTCTGAGCCCCAGCGCTGCGATTTCCTAGTTGTGTGAACAAGAACAGTCACATGACCTCTCTGAAGCTTCCTTCCTTCTTCTGTGAACCAGGTATAACAATGGCACCTCTCCTGCCCCAAAGTTAGGCGTGTTCTAAAAGCACATTTTGATATCAAAGTGCCAAGCTATGCTCTGTGGAATGTGAGTCCCGCAGGGTGGGAAGGGGAATGTCTTGAATTCGGGGTTTAACATTTCCATTTCCACTGGTCTCTTTCTCCTGCATGTCCAGTTGGGCCCCTGATTGGCAAATACTGTGGGACCAAGACGCCCTCCGAGCTCCGTTCCTCCACAGGGATCCTCTCGCTGACCTTTCACACGGATATGGCAGTGGCCAAGGACGGCTTCTCTGCACGCTACTACCTGGTTCAGCAGGAGCCGCTCGAGAGTGAGTTGGCCAGTGGGGACCCGCTCTCGGCTATGAGGCCGACAGAGAAGGGGATGAGAATTCAACTGAATTGGCGGTGTCGTCCTGAGTCCCCGGGATGGGAGCCACATCCTCTTGCCGGGCAGAGACCAAGGATAAAAGAGAAATTGTTGACTTCAAAGAAATAGCTAGAACAGGCACACACACACAAGAGAAGGGAGGTCAGGAGGTGGGGAGTGGGATGGGGGCGGTTGATGCTAAGTGGGTACAGAGTTTCTGTGGGGTGAGGAGAAGAAAAAGTCAGAAACAAGTAGGGATGACATTGTCTCAGGAGTCTTCTAAGAGCTTCCCTTGTGTGCGGTGCGGACTCCCCTGGCAGGTTCAAGTTCCAGATCCTTGGGTGGGTTCTTAGAGGGAGGGTAATGGACAGTTTGAGGATGCCCTTTTATTCGCAAGACGTACAGGGTGATGGCTCAAAGGTGTCCAGAAGTGGGGTTTCTGGAGGCAATGGAAAGAAAGCGGTTTCTGAAGGCAATGGAACGTAGGAAGCAAAGCAGAAGAAGAACAAAAAATATTGAGCCGCCTGCTCATCTCTTATGAAATGTATCTATGTTTGGTTACTAAGAGTTAGTGATTCCCCAGGAGAATTCTCATCTCAAACCTCAGTATCCTCATCTATGAATATTAAGATGACCCAATGTTCATAAGTGACCAGGTCACCTCTTGGGCTAGCATTTCTGAGGAGACAGCCCTTTTCTTCCTCTCCAAAACTCAATGGCCATTGTCATGACATGGGGCACTTTTAGATCCCTCTATTTACATAATTTTAGATCTCTTTATATATATATATATTAGTGTATGTGAAACACTGGACCATTTGGCTTTGGTAAACTCTCCCTCTATTGGCATTGGAGAAATGGAGCTCGGATCCAGCTCTCAAGGAATTTGCAGTCGAATAGACGAGCCCCCTCAGTGTCTGGTCATGAGCTACGTCTTCAGATCAGGTCCTCTTGGACATGGGCTTCTGATTGCTCCCACTTCCTTGTAGGACCTTAAAACGACAACCTAGGGCAGTGGAGAAACACGTGGGTGTGGGGAGACTGTTGCCTAAGTGGTCGCCGGCTGGCCACGAGGGTGACGAAGGCAGCCCGGGCTGCAGGAACATGGCTGGCTTTTGTTCTGGCCGCTGCTGCCGCCTTTGCATTTTCCATTGAGTCCTCGAGGAGATTGAGTGACAAAGAAGCAGTACTGCAAATTGCACCAGGGTCTGCAAATGGCCTGCGCAGTCACTGAGCTAAAGAATAGGTTTGATACCTGGAAAAGATTGCTGGCCCTTATCAGACACAGGCACACACAAATATTGATCAGTGTCCACGGTCACCACGGGAAGGACAGCAATTTAACGGATGGTGCCTGTCTACAGTAAGTGACTTCTGGGTTCATTTGCCCAGACAGGCGGCGCAGAGGACTATAGAGTGACATGCAAGTGCTCCTAGAGAGGTCTCCCAAAGACAGGACTTGTGCTTTGCAATGTCTGTCTTTTGTGCTGGAACGCAAGAGACAGTTGAGAGAAAGAAAGGAGCAAACGTGCCTTGTGGGTGTTTATTAATAAAGCAGGCTTCCCACGATGCACCAGCCCACCCAAATTGCCGGGAGTCGATCTGGAGTTTACCTGTATTGCAGTCACGGGGCATTCTGGCATCTACGAGCATCCATAGCCTGCAGCCCCCCTAGATTGTATTTTTAATTTGTATCGTGGTTCTTATTTATCCACAGCCTAGTTTCTTTTAGGTCCACCTCCGTTTCTTTCAGACCCAGAGGGGTTGTCAAGTCCTCTGGACTAGGAGTAGTTGTTTTTCTCCATGTGAGTGTATAATTAGGCCCGTACGATGAGGGAGTACCTGCATGGACTTGTCCCTGGAAGGGAGCAGTGTCTAAGTGTCCTGGGAGTTTGAAGGTGAGAGGCCTAACTCTGCCTGAACTATCTCCATCCCTCAGACTTTCAGTGTAATGCCCCGCTGGGAATGGAGTCTGGCCGGATCGCCAATGAACAGATCAGCGCATCTTCTACTTACACGGACGGGAGGTGGGCCCCTCAACAAAGCCGGCTTCACGGTGATGATAATGGCTGGACCCCCAACTTGGACTCCAGCAAGGAGTATCTTCAGGTACTGATTCGGATACCAGAGGGTGTGTGTGTGTGTGTGTGTGTGTGTGTGTGTGTGTGTGTGTTCATCCGGGTAGACTAGAGAAACAAATCCAGAGAGACACTCATATATGTATAAGAAAGAGCTTTATATAAAGAGTCATTGTTCATTAAGAAAACATCCCAGCCCAGTTGAAAAAGTCCATAAGTCTGATATTAGCCCATATGCTCAATATTATAAAGTCCTCTCATGAAACACATGCAATGA